GGTTCAGTGATTTCGTCAGTTGTTACTGGATCAGGCTCAGACTCGCTTATACTGTCATCGGATGTTACTGGATCAGACTCAGACTCGCTTATACTGTCGTCGGATGTTACTAGATCAGAGTCAGTAGTTTCATCGGATGTTACTGGATCAGACTGAGTGAATTCGCCAGTTGTTACTGGCTTAGACTCAAACTGGTTTGTACTTTCATTGGATAGCAGTGGATCAGACTGAGTGAATTCATCAGTTGTTACTGGCTTAGACTCAAGCTGGTTTATACTTTCATTGGATGTTACTGGATCAGGCTGAATAAGTTCGTCAGTTGTTACTGGCTTAGACTCAGACTGGTTTAAACCTTCTTGCGCATTGTCATTTACTTCATCTAAGCTAGATTTAGATACTTCACTGAGTTTTTCAGTTGAATCTTTGCTTTTAGATCCTTCCTCTGGATCAAAAACTGTACTATCTTTCTCACTGGTTGGCTCGTCTACTATAAAACTGTTGGTTCCTTCAGTTAAAGGATCATCCATAGAAAGATCTTTTTCTGTTAGTGAGTTTTCATTTTCCTTCACAGCAGAGTCATCAACAGTTGATTCTGGCTTTTCTTCCAATGCAGCATTATCAAATTGCTCCTCTGGATAGGGTGCATCTAAATCAGCAGTTTTGGTTGAGCTTAAATTGTCCTCAGATGGCTTTGAGCTAGATAAACCTTCAGTTTTTAAGAAGTCATCCTGTTTGCTTGAATTAGCTTCATCACCAGGAAGAGATGGATCTTCTATCGGGCTTCCCTTAGTGTCAGCTGTGGTAGCTTGATCTGAAGTCTCAGGAAGATGCGCAGAATATAAAACGTTTAATTTGTGCTCTATATTTTGAATCGCAAGCTGAAGCTCTTCTAGTGTGAGCTCCGAAATAGCTCTTTTGCCATAAAACTCAGGAATATCAAGATCTATATATTCATCAAGTTGTAATTTTTCTGTTTCTGGTTTGTCATCAGTAGTTGCTTTTACTCTAGCAGCTAGTATAAAATAAAAATATACTACTGCAAAGTATATTTTGACTGATAGCTTTCTTTTAGTTTTATTCATGATGTTTTGATTTTCTTTCTGTTTTATAGATAATATTTAAAAACCCAATAAAATACATAACCAATCATCGCATAGTAGTGTAAAAACTGTTGGTTTGTTTATTATATTACTTCTATTCATTGGATTTCAAACACGCGGTGTTTACGAACTGTTTTTTTCTCACTAGATTCCTTTTCGCTTGTATCTTTCTTGATTGCGCTGGGAAGCTTAATTTCAATCTTTGAAATTTGCGTTGGTTTTATCGTGGCTATCCCTGTTTTGCTATTCCATGCAGACAAGGACATGCCAGGAGACCATGCTATCTTAGTACCAGCTCCACTGGCCTTTTTCTCTACTTTCTGTGGTTTTGCTGCCTGCATATAGACCTTCTCTAGACTCTTGGGTTCTTCCTTCTTTAACAGTAAATCTTCTCCCTCGGCTTTCTTCTCGGCACTGTCTTTTTTTGGATCTGCTGGGCTATTTGCCACACCCGGGCTTCTTACTGGTGCAAATTCAATCGATCTTTTTATCTTTGGAAAGTTATCTTTGATGTCTTTAGTCCTGTCCATCATCAAATATGGCGATATTCTATCAACAAACTCAATTGCCTGGGAATTTCCAAGCACTTCCTGCAACTTAGCAACAAACACGTCAAGTGATATATCCATGCGGTCATAGCTTTCTGTTAGAGATGCAACTTCTTTTGCAGGCTTGTATGTTCGATTTATCATGTTTGTGTATTTTTCTTTCATATTGCGCTGTCGCAGTAACTCCTCTCTATTTAGATGTTTAGGAATTGCAGGAGTGCTTGCAGTGTTTTCGTCTATACCTGCATTTTCCTCTGTATTTCTTGGCGCACTGTCCTTTTTTTCCTTTCTTTGTGCCTCCCGTGCTTCCCCTGAGTTTTTGCGGGGTGCGGTTGATGCCAGTATAGGAATCTTTATTTTCTCTCTCTTGACTGGGTGAGTGGATACTTTGTGTGCAGCCAGTTCAATTTCATCAATAAATGTATAGCATCTGGCATCTAAGCACATCTGTTCATCACATGTATAGTGGGCCTTTTTAAAGTGGCTCTCTAATTCTTTGTAGTTTTTATAGTACTCGTTCTTCTTCCCAAGCCGCTCGCATAGATAGCACACCTCATGCGCCTTTCTGCAGTGCTTTGCTAGAATGTCGGGTGTGTAAAATCTTTCTCTGCAAAATCCACAGCTAGGATGCCCGTTACCAATTGTTTTTTCTGTTCTGTGGGCGGTCAGTTCTCCCATGCTATAGACAACATATTCAAAGGGAAATTCACATCTATACTCAACACACAGCTCGCACAAGTATCTCTTGTGCTTCGTTGCATAATGGTTGATCAGCGTACTACTATCATAGAACTCAGTTTTGCACAGCTTGCATGATCTGGTAAGCAGTTTCTCTATTTCCTCTATTTCCTCAGGCTCGCACACAATAGAGCCTGCCCAAACGTACGAGTCCTCTGTTTTAACAAACCCTGCACGAGGACTCTTTACAAGGCGAAAGAGCAGCTCCTCATTGGGCACTTCTTTAAGACATATCAGACAGCCTGATTTGTTACTTATGAACTTGTACCGCAGGCCGCATTTTAAGCAGCACCGATGGCCACACTCTGTAACTATTCCTGTAGTATAACTATCATAGCAAATTATACACTCTTCCTTCATAAATATATATATGAGCAAATTTTTATTATACAGTAGCTATATAAACACAAAATAGAGCCCGTCTGGTTGCAGGGCAATAGCCAGTTCCTGCGGCTGCCCAGCGCACATTCTTCTATTCTAGTTATTTCCTGCAGAACTTATTTAATATTTGTCTTCTAGATCCGCATATAACTTCTTACAGCATTTTGGGTGAAAAGACATTGATATATCGGCTTTAGACAAATTCTTTGTGCATAAACGCATTGGAATGCTTTTTCTACTAAGCAATTTCCGCTTCTCCTACGGATATATCTCTCAGAAATATTTTTGTTTTAATAAACAGACATGGCTGACATGCATTCAAAGAAGAAAACAGCAGCCCCAGAACACCTTCAGAATGAACCATACATAGTGCCTGCAGATCCAGATAAGATGGATGAGATCAAAGCAATTATACTACAGATCTTCCCTGTTGTGTATAATCATGATTTCTATGCCAAGCTGTTCTCAAAAAACACATTTCTTCAGCTCCTTTGCAACTCAGCAACCCATGAGATTGTTGGGCTTTTTGCCCTTAGGCTGTCCAATTCCAACACAATGGATCTCAGCGGGTCCCCGCATAGCGCAATACCAAACTGTGAGTGCAGCGGAATGAATAAGTTTGAGGAGGACAAGTTTATGTATGTGATTCTTATTGGTATAATAGAAAAATATCAAGGGCACGGATATGGAAAGATGCTTCTTAAAGAAATCGACTCAATTTCTGTGGCATATGGCATACCTCACATATTTTTGCATGTGCAGACGTCCAACCTGCGTGCAATCGAGTTCTACTATAAATCAGGGTTTAAGCTTGCAAAGCTCATTACTAATTACTACACAAATGTATATCCTAAAGATGCCTTTTTATTACGAAAGTGCTTGCTGCAATAGATAATAAATCATTTTAAGAGAGACTCCTCTATCTTATCTAATCTTTTTTTCATCTGAAAAACCTCTTTCAAGACATCAGCATGGATCTTGTGCACTGACTCTTTGAACCTTTCAAATGACTTGTGCATGTAAAACATGTCTTGCGCATACTCTAGATACCTATCATTTGCGGAAACATTTTTACCGTCGCTGCCATCGTGAATATTGCAATTCTTACTATATTCTACATCTAATCTAATGGGTCTTTCCACTGGTATCTTCTCGGTAGGTTCCTTTTCGCCTGGTGTGCCTTTTTTTTCAAACGTAGGAAAGTTGCCGTTTGCCATAATATAGTCTGCAGCCTTGTAGCCCATTCCTTTGCCCTCAGACATCTTCATCTCGGAAAGAACCTTCTCTCTAGGCGCGTCATCAAGAACAATAAGTGAAATGAAAGAAACACTTCCATTTGCGCGGCTTCTATATATGGTTCTAATGCTGTTTGTATACGGAGAGTACATGGTTATTTTGTTAGAGGATATAAATGCCATCCCCATGCCCTTCAAGGGAACAACTCTTTTATAGTCATCTATTGGGAAGGCATGCTTTTTTATCACTCGGTTGTTCAGACAGTCCACGTTCATTAGCTCGCCTGCTGTTGTTAAAACAAAGAGAAGTGCAGGTTCTGGGTGCCAAAATCCAATTGTGCTGATTGGCGCGCCAAAGTACTTCATACTTCGGACTATTTCCATTTTTGTCGCCTCAAATATATATACATTTCCTTTTTCGCAGCTTACTACTAGCTGTATTTGGCCCTTCAGCTTGGACACCTTTGCAGTGTTTGGGTCCAAGGTAACCCGCAGCCGTAGTTTTGTATATGCACTTGTGTTTAGCTCCAGCCGGTGTATTATTTTCTCGGATATAAGTAGCAGCGTGTTCTCGCATAGAAGTATCTGCGCGGTGCCTATAATTTCGTCGTTCTCAATTACAACCTTCTTCTCCCCTGTACTTATGTCTATGGCTGTCACTGTCTTTCCTGCAATATAGAATATTGATGCATCAAACAGTGCGTACGATTCAATGGTCCCTACAAGAGGGTCTTCCTTTCCCTTTAGATACCTTACAAGATACAGTGTGTTTTCGTACGTGTGCCCAATAAAGGCGCCCCTTTTTAGCAAATGCGCATTTGTGGTGAATGATTTATATTGTTTCTGCAAAGGCCATTTGTTTGTTGTACTCCCTTTGGAAACAAACACCCATCCAGCATGCACTTCTAGAATTGCAAACGCCCCGTGCATTGGTCCTTCTTGGTTTGAAGAAGCATTTATCTGTTCTTGACGGATTCCTTCCATAGAGCTTTGAAAATATTCAAATAAACATTTTAGAATAAATCTGGCAAATTGCAAGCATATAGTATTAATTTGATCGAAAGATAAATTGGCAAGCAATTACACAGCGAGGGCGAGATTGCATTTATTTGAGAAGTCTAGCGTAAGTAATAATAAAATCAAAAATATTGATTAAATAATATATGAAAATTGGTACTTTACTAAAAGCCTTAAAACCCCCCGTGGCATGCGTGTAATAGAAGAGGCGCATTAGTGTCTGAGAGAGCAAAACACTTGACTGCAATGTGGTATTATTCGATTAGAGGAGCTTATAATAGTAATTAAATTTAATCCTACAGAAATTGCAAACATACAGTATTTTAATAATTTTAATAAAGCATTCTAGGCTTATGTACAGCAAATTACAAGTGCACATAGAACCCAAATGGAATTTTCAAAATAAAAGAGCATGCAAGGGCCTACTAAAGAGTTTATAATGCAATCTAGAAAGGGCTGTTTATCACAAAAACAGGTGAGTTCATAGACTAAAGCGTATGCATATATTGGATTGTTGGCTTCAGGCAGAAGAAATTGTATCTTATACCACTAGAGTCTGCAGAGTAGCTTAAATAGACAAGAGGAGTTATAATTGACTTAGAATGAAATGTTCTATAGATTGTGCAGAAAATAAACACTTTTAGTTATAAGCTAGTCCTAATTAGGTTGGTTATTTAATTCTCTAAGCCCTTTTACAGATTCAGAGTTACCAATATCCTGAATGCACTTATACTTCTATGGGCTTATTTGTAGGCGAAAATACTTTTATATATTTCTTCTATTAGAGTATTTACACTTCTTTAGACATAGCTATAAATATGCGCATAGAACAATCTCTAGACTACAATATCAGGCTGTGTACTGCTGCAAGCGCACTACTCTACTAAGGCACTTTACTTGCAAAATATGCTGCATATTTGGTATGTGCAAGGGTGCTTAAAAAGAGCTTAATACTTTCTTTAAGAGTCTTTAGAGACTATGGAAGTGCAAAGAAGCCAGGCACTTCTATTCTTTCGTGTATATGCGAAGGTTTTCATGCCTTGTATAAAGAAAATATAGTAACAGAAAGCACAGCTAAAAAGTTTTAGAGACAGCGAGTAGAAATGGTGCACAATGAGCTTATTGAAAAAAGAGGAATTATCAAAGAGATTCGCCAGATTGGAATATCCTTGTGTACGTATTTAGTAGACATAGGAGAAGAAAGCTTTCCCCCGCTGTGCTATGCGATTAGGCTAGGAATAGTAGGAAAAACACTTACTAGGCCATACTCACCTGTTAGTTTTACAGGAAGCACAGTAGAATGCATTATAAAAATATATCCACAGGAAGAAGGGAAGAACATGTTCACTCCAGATCTAGAAAAACTATCTGTTGGAGATGAGCTGCGTGTGCTGTGGTACACACCAAAGTACCCAATAGAAGAGATTCTCTCCACCAAGCACATGCATGTATGCATGATATCTGCAGGAACAGGAATTACTCCTATGATGCAAATATTAGACTATGCGGCACAGAATAGAAGTATGCACAAGTTTACCTCTATAGCACTATCGCACAGTACCAACCACCAGATATTAAAAGACAGTTCTTTATACAGTGGGATAAGCTTGGAATGCATTAGTCTTATGTCCAAGAACCCAGATTGCACGCATGCAGAACTAATCAGAAAAATAGAAGTACTCATTCAGCCACTGCTTAGCAAGGATGTCTTGTATCTGGTGTGCGGGACAGACTCCTTTGTTGAGGCAGTATCAGGCGTAAGAAAGGGCGAGTATGGAGGCCTTCTTATGCGCCATAATGTTCCATCCAGCAGCTGCTATAAATTCTAGCTTATAGAGTGCGCCGCATTTCTAGAATGTATGCGAGAGAAAGTCATGAACAGAGACAATTTATAATAAACTGTAGAAGTATGTTACAACTACTTCTGCACTTTAAACATAAATTAAAATAAACACTATTTGCATCTATATACTCTGAGTTACCTTTATTTCTTCTTCAAATAGCAGCAGATGTATTTTAATAGAATATTGAAATAAGGAGTACAAATTAAGAAACTTAGCATGCAATAATAACTCGAGTTCTAACCATTATGGGAATATGATAATAAAGAAAGAAGAAGCCTACAAAAAAGAAGTTCCACAGCATTATAATGGGATTTTACATAAGATAGTGCTTCTATTGGATAGTTGGTTTTTAGCAGAAAGTCCAATGTCCTTCTTCTATAGTAAGCCAAAAACCATGGAACCTTCCACATAAAAAAGTTCTTTTAAAATTCCGCACTCTACCCACAGCCAAGCTAAACTTCAATAGGAAATATCCACTTACCATTAATTTACAACGCATGCTTATTATCATAGAAGTTAATTTGTTGAATAATCATAGCTGATTTAATAACCATATGCACTATCAGGCATGTCTGTATAAATGCATAGCGTGCGCTTGTATCAGTACTTATGCAGAACAGAGTATAAATCTCTGATTCTTTAATATTTCATGCAATATCATTGATTTTGAGTCTATTTAGCTTTTTATTTTTTCACTACTAGCATGAGTGTTGAACAGGATAGCCAGCTGAAAGAATATGTTGATCAAGAAGAAAACAGACAAAGAAATTCGCTTACTTTAATTGCAAGCGAAAATTATGTATTTCCAGAAATTTACAAATACTCTGGATCCCTTCTAACTAATAAATATTCCGAAGGAAAGGTGGGTGCAAGATACTACGGAGGAACAAAATACATTGATGCAATCGAAAGCCTATGCCAAAAAAGAGCACTTGCCTTGTTTGGGCTTGATCCCAACGAGTGGGGAGTCTGTGTGCAGCCATACTCTGGGAGTGTGGCCAACTTCTCTGCTTACTCTGCTTTGATAGGACCAGGCGGAAAGATAATGGGAATGAATCTGCCTGCAGGAGGGCATCTAACACACGGGTTCCAGACAAAAACCCGAAAGGTATCTGGAACAAGTCTTTACTTTGCATCATACCCGTACGAAGTAGATGAGAAGGGGGTCTTAGACTACAGCATCATTGAGAAGCGAGTAAATGAGATCAACCCAGAGCTACTCATCTGTGGGTACAGTGCACATTCCCAGGATATAAACTATCAAAAGCTGAGAAGCATTGTAGGCAGCAATGCCTTTTTATATGCAGACATCTCGCACATATCTGCTCTAATTGCCTGCGATCTTATGAACAGTCCGTTCGCACACTGTGATGTCGTAATGACAACCACACACAAGGGGCTAAGAGGGCCAAGAGGTGCAATAATTATATACAGAAAGAGTGTCACAATCAAGGGCAAGGAGTACAATCTTGAGCAAAGAATGCACCAAGCAGTCTTCCCTTTAATGCAGGGCGGCCCCCACAATCAAACAATTGCAGGTATAGCACATGCGATGCACATGGCAGCACAGCCTGAGTTTAAGAAATATGGAGAGCAGGTTCTTGCTAACTCCAAGGTAATGTGCAAGTTCTTCCAGGAGAAGGGATACAATATTATTACAGGCTCAACTGTGAACCATATGATCATTATTGACTTAGGAAATATGAACGTGGGAGGACAGGAGGTGGAGACCTTCTGTGATGCCCTGGGGATAAGCATAAATAAGAACAGTGTGCCGCGAGATAAAGGCTCTCTATTTACGCCATCTGGTATTCGTCTGGGAACATACGCTCTTACAACCAGAGGGTTCAAGGAGGATGATATAGTCTTTGTGGCAGGCATGATTGACTCTGTGATTTCTCTTCTTAAGGAGACAGCAGAGGAAAGAAAGGGCTATAAGACTCTGGAGGCATGGATGCAGGAGAAAAACATTCTGCAGACAAGCAGCATGCAAAGAATCATACAACAGGTGGCATATTTCACCCAAGTCTTCCAGATCCCAGAATAAGGCAGATTTTAAGCCCGTATTCGCTGCAGTAATTTGAGAACTGAGTTTTTCTCTCTTTAAATACGATAAAATGAACATGGTCATATTAAGCATAGGATATTATAAACAGACAAACCATGGGAGGATTAAAATGGAGTTTAAAAGGAATAAATAGGTTTTCTAACTGCACTGTCTTATTCATTGAAAATATTTGTAACAGAAGGATAAAAGCACAATGCATTGATGTATACAGATAGTTTATAGCACAGACTGAATATATTCATACCAAGTTATTCTGCATTTAGGGTGTTTTTCTGTTAGGGTGCACATATTTCTATAGCCTGAAAATCAGACAAGTGCTATGTGAAGGTGTTCAGTATACAGGTTCTTATATTTCACTAGCATGTCTTGGCATTTCTAGTGCTGCAAATGATATTTAGAATTTCGGACAGATTTTTAGCATGACTAAATCACTCCATTGTAAAAATATGTGTGAACCACAGAATATAGAATATCTGGCATGCAGCATACACTACAAATAAAAGTGCTTGCTAAAAGAATCTGCATAAATGCCATATGCGTACACAGCATGCAGATATGAATTGACTAAGTTTGGCATTTATTGAATTTAACAGCCGAATAATAGTTTAAAGAGTCTTTCTGCCAGGAATGCTCGTCCTATATAGATCCAAAGCACCTTAATGGTTTGGGCTGCAGTTTCTGTTGTTTGTTCTAGAGCCTTTCTTGCACTTTCTTTGAAATCATTCTTAAGTCCGCGCAGACCTTTGCTGGCTGTGACCCCATGATCAGCTTACTTACTGCTGTTCTCACCAGCGCAATGCTCTCTGCAGTTCCAAGCACACGGATGTTCTTGTCCTCTATAACAATGCGTGTCTGTGTGATTAGCTCCAGATTGTTCTTGATCTTTCCCTTTGTACCAGCAACTCTTCCAATGGCTCTGCCTATGTGGTGATGTCTCAGTATTCTTACATCTTCAATGGAGAAGCAGTTTACATAGAGCGTGTCGTCTCTCAGAATGGAAAGTGCATCCTCTGGAGAGAACCCAAGCGTAACTGCACTGATAAATTCTTCAGCCCTCTGTATGGCTACAGGGCTAAGTGTCTCTTTACACGTTCTAATATCTATGCTCTGTGTTGCCAAATTCATTCTTATTTGAAGATTGCACTGCACTACAACTGGTGTGTATATCTTCATCCACTCCTCCTTTATCATTTTCATCTTTCTTGATGGAACTCGCACACTTCTCATCTCGTGCGAAATGTCCTTCTCTTCCTTTTCTGCCATAAAATTTTCTGTTCCGTTATTCTTGCATTTATGCAGAAAAAAGAAACAAAGAAGCATGCCCGTGCCAAAAATAAACCAAAGAAGATGGGCAGACTATAATGTATAAGTATTTACTATTTATTCGTTATACCTTTCTGGTGCTGTAGAAGGTCTTAACAGCCTCGCTCTGCACGTAGTACAAGGCAAGCAGGCACAGACACACCTCAAGAAGCGTAAGCTTCTTTATCCAGCTCTTAGTGCCTTTTGCTTTCTCTAAGTGCTCGGTCTGTCTAGAGAGCAGTGATTTGTGTGCATCAATTATTCTTCGGAGGAAGTCTTCCAGATCCTTTCCAAGATTTGCTTCTACCTGCGATGCAAATGGGCCTTCATCTGCCTCTGGGAGTATAACTGTAAAGATAATCTTCTTCTTTGAAGGGTTGCTTAGGGTTAGGTTGTAGTCGCCTGCTTCCTTTGGCATGAAAGAAATTGTCATATTTGTCTCATCTTTAAATGTTCTTATGACTTTATTAGAAGGGTCCTTAAGCTGCAAAGTGGTTGGCCCATTCCCTACGCCAGAAAGTGACATTTCCAAACGGGTTTTCCTGCCCTCTGCGAGCCTCAGACCCAGAACAAACTTATCATCCCCTGCCACATCAAATGTTTCACACAGGGCCAGCCCGATAAAGAAAATAGCCAAGAATACTCTCTTCATTAAAGAAAATAAAAATACAAATAATAAATACAGAATAAACAGTGAAACAGAACACCTCAATAGATATCATGCAGAATATAGAAACACAGGCTGTATTCTATGCGTATCTACAGATATTTCTTATAAGATAATCACATCCCAGCAAGAGTGCGTATTTAATAACCTGCAAGACATAATCGCAGATAAAATACTGTTTTACATGGTTGCATTCGTTTGCAGGTATTCACACAGAATATCTTCTGCATACTTATGCCATGTATTGCTGGAATATTCTACTTTCCTGCGTGCGATTGATAGAAAAAGTGCTGTATGCCAGAATAACTTTTTATTTATCTTTACTACTTCTTTTTTATGCACTACTCAGGCAGTCTTTTATTATGCGTCTAAAGCCACTTACAATTAGAAAATTATCAGCATACACAGAGCGAATGTCTATGGAGGTTTTGCTTGGTATTTTCTTCTGCCCTGAGTATATTAGTATTGTATATATAGGGAGTGTGTCTGCGATCTTTGTGATTACTTTCACTTTGTGGGTATCTTTTGTGCCAGAAAAAGTGTGGTAAAAGAAGACCTTCATGATAATGCTTTCTGCATATGCAAGGATCCAGAAGGAAACAAGAAGTACAATGATTCCTATTCGGTTTGCATTCAGGCCAGCGCGCTCCACTAGAAGGAAAACAGAGATAGCAATGGATGCCGTCGCAATCCCTATGGCAATTCTTATGTCAGTGAAGATCGTGTCTTCTTGGTACTTCTCCAACTCAGTGAGGTATTCAACAAGAATTTCATCCAGCTCCGATTTTATTACGGATAGGTCGTACAGATGTGGGTGGATTTCTTCCTTTTTCGCTGGCTTGTTTCTGCTTTGAGGGTTTTTCATAAATAAAGAAAAGGAAGGTGCTTTAAAGAGCAATTAAAAATGCGAAAAATAAAAAGAAGGGCGACTCCGGGAATTGAACCCGGGACCTCCTGCACCCAAAGCAGGAATCATACCACTAGACCAAGTCGCCTACATTGTTTTTGATTGCCCAGGATCCATGGCAGGTGTGCCCTAATTAATGAAGCATCTTTCAAAACACATTCTGTAGACACTGCACGCATCTATTTATAGGGCCACAAAGACTTTATGAAGGTTATACGCACAAATACACTAGAATTCTACTTTTCCTTTTCTTATTTACACATAGCACTCCCAAAGTAATGCTGAAACTTTAGATCTATTTGATATATTATTTCCATGCTTGCAGATGTCTCCTATTGCATTTCGGATTTTCAATGTATCCCAGAAGACTCTACTACTCACACGTACTGCTATGTGGGGTTTTAATAATAAAACATTTTTAGCAGTTGCATGTGCTAATAGGCTCACAAAGCATTTTCAAGTGGGTTATTTAGTCTGCAATTGCTACTGCTTCTGGCTTAGGCGGTTCCTTTCATGTATTTTTTCTAGTGCATTTACAGATGCACATTTGCTCCATAGCACTCTTCTGTACTGTAATATGCATGCATGGAAAGTCTACAGTTAATTTGTATAAGTGCTTTCATTTCTTAACTACTTTTACCATCTTAAGGTCTTATGCATATATGTAAGTTCTACTATGTGTCTGTATGCCTGTAATATGTAATATTTTTACAATTCATGCGGGTCATACTCTCTCTGCATCAGTTCAGCAATATTTTCATTTTTCTGCATTATTCAATTTCTTTAAGCTCTAGTACTTACAAAGACAAAAAATAGTTAGAGCAAGAAGTTTTCAAAGTAGCATATAATTTTATATCTGGCGTGCAGATGGCAGAATTACCTTTTAATGCGCACTGCACTTCCATATAGATATTTACATTGTACTCTGCACAGCCACTTGCATGAATATAATTTAAATACGAGAAAATCGCATACATTGTATGTGCATTCAATGCATATGTAATATAGACAGAATAATAAGTATTTAACTAGCTAGAAATAGATCAGAAATAGGTTTTATCCATGGAGTATGCATGTAGTGGTAAAATAATAACTTTACTTCCATGATATCACGGAGTTTAAGAAGAAAGAAACAATTGATTGATTCTTCTCTACTAATAGATGAATTTCAACTGATATTTGGTGAAATTGCTTGTTACCTTAAACTGATAAATTTAAAGAAAATCATCACGTGAATTCCGCCACTTTATTCGAATTATTCTTTCTAGATGCATGCAAAGAACAGTAAAAAGCATCATTTCAGATGGATCAAGTGCATTCTTTCCTGTCTATTGTACCTTTCTGTTGTACCTCTTGATATATTCTTTTTTGTATAAGTTTGATTATGAGTTATGTATATAACACATGGTTTGTTTATTTTCATGAAAGAGAAAATATCCGAGGTTATACAGAAGGTACTTGCCCAGGAAATGATCAGAGATGAAAGTGTGTACTTGATTGGCGAGGAGGTTGCAGTGTACGGAGGGGCATACCAGTGCACAGCTGGTCTTTTGGAGAAATTTGGCTCAGCCCGGGTGATTGACACACCAATATCTGAGATAGGGTTTACAGGCCTGGCAGTGGGCTCTGCTTTCATGGGGCTAAAGCCTGTGTGCGACTTTATGTCTTTCAGCTTTGCCCTGCAGGCGATGGACCACATAATCAACTCTGCAGCAAAGACTCTGTATATGTCGGGAGGCAGGATTCAGTGCCCGATTGTGTTTAGAGGCCCAAATGGATATGCAGCTGGCGTGGGTGCACAGCACACGCAGGACTTCAGTGGATTCTTTGCCTCTATTCCAGGCCTTCGGGTGGTTATGCCGCACTCGGCCCGGGACCACGCAGGTCTTCTAAGAAGTGCAATCCGTGACCCAAATCCTGTGATTGTTCTGGAGAATGAAATGCTCTACTCCCAGGAAAAAGACTTTGATGAGTCAATACTTGATGAGAACTTCCTTCTCCCTCTGGACAAGGCAATTGTTGAGGTGGTGGGTGATGCAGTTACCATTGTAGGACTTGGCATAACAGTTGGCATCTGTCTGGAGGCAGCTGAGAAGATTCTTAAGCAGCAGAATATCTTTGTGGAGGTAATCAACTTATTGGCTATAAATCCTTTGGACATATGCACAATTGAGAAGTCTGTTTCAAAGACAAAGAGGCTGTTGATTGTGGACTATGCCTGGCCAGAGTGCGGAGTTGCCTCTGAGATCTCTGCATCTATCTCCTCTCGTCTTTTTGGAGTCCTGGAGAGCCCTGTGTACACACTCTGCAGCAAGAAAGTGCCCACCCCATATGCAGAAGAGCTTGAGAAGCTGATGTATCCAAATGCAGAGGACGTAGCATCTTCTGTGCACATGCTTCTAGCTAAGATGGCATATCGAAATAAAGAGTAATTGAAGGGTTTACACATTCTCTGGTGAATTTTAGCTTTATGTATTTTTAATCTGTTCACTTTGCATTTCTAAAAAAAATGAAAGGGTTCTGTTTTTCATACACTCAGTGAAGAAATCCAGAAGAAAAAGAAACACCACAAAAGAATAGAAAGCCCTATATAAAATTAAAGAAACATTTCAGAATATACACTACATCAGAACATATGTACTTTAAACTATGCATGAAGAAAAGGAGTATCTGGAATGTAGAAAAGGCAGTTTAATACACATGCCGCTCTACTTATAATGACCATCTGGAAGACTATTAAGCATCTTATTTATTGTTTAGACTGCACCAAGGTGTGCTCTGCATGAACAAATCCACTTATGCCTCTGGTATATATGTAGAGTATGCCCGAAAAAGACGAGTACAGAAGTGCATCGAAGACACAAAATTCCCTACTATCCAGGGTAATTAAATATTCAGCATGCATAAAAGTATCTTTGTATGCATTCGGGTTATATTTATGCGCACAGAGAAGCAATATATTGCACGGTCTCTTCCAAAATATTACACACTCGTAGATTTTTCTCTTTAAAAGAGTCTTGTAAAGAAGTAAGCACACGGACTATTTTAGCAGGGTCTGAAATATCAAGACATCTAAATACATGTAAATATATACTCTTATTAATCATTGCAGCCAGACTTATAATAAGCTCTGGTTGCTCACTCTTTTCCTCACATGCATATATCATCCAGATGTAGTTTACTACAGCATGTACTTCTTTTCTATTCACCTGGTAGTATGAATCTATCCAGTCTGTCAGCATCTGTGCATATTCAACTGTGTTATTCTTGAATAGACATTTGAATATTCCTTTGTTAAGACTTTTTTCAATCAGTGGATTCTGCGCACTTAGTGCTCCTTTTTTCTCTATCTGCGTGTATAGCCTTATTGCAGAAACTAAAAATTCTGGGTTATCTGCATGTATAATGCGCTCGAACGTATTTATGTGCTCTTTTGGGTCCAAAATAATCTCTCTCCATCTTTCAAAAGGCAGGCTAATACGTCTAAACAGGTGTGCGTTGTTTGAGTATATTAAAGAGGGCAATAAAAATGCCTGAATGCATGACTTTGTAAGGTTCATGCATCCTATTATGTTCGAGGTAAATCGGATTATAGGATGGCGTGGAGTCAATTCTGCCCTGGACGTGAGTATCATGCAGCCTTCCACCATATCGCGTGCTACACCCAGTATGGATATTTTGTTTAGGAGCAGAAGCCTGTTCATATTTTCATAGTTGTTTCTTACTACTTCAAGGATTTCATTTTGTATGCACGGGAAAGCCAGCTCGTCCTTGCCATCCTCGCAGCGAGGTCTTAGCCTTCTAATATACTGCGCAAAGGCATACCCAAGGAAACTGTCCTTTTCAAGTGCTTTTTTTTGCAGAGAGCACAGCAAAGAATTCTCGTCTTCAGAGAACTCGTAGGGAGGCGGCGATATACTAAGGAAAGAGTGCCCAGTACTTATGCGTATAGCGGCAATAGACTCCATTGAATCGTGCTGTGCATATATAGTGACGTTTCCAACAATATCGAGATTTCCATCTGACCTGTATACTCTATGTACGCCATTCATGTCCACACGAGTGGATTTATTCCAGGCGATTTCCTTGAAAATACTTTCTGTATGGTCTAAGATTTCTTTCAAAAGCGGACCCTCCAATTGTTCTCTTTTAAAGACTCTCTCATACAGTGATTCAAGCACTTCACTTCTCTCTTCATAGATTCCTGTTAGGTCTGTGATTATATGAAGCATATTGATAATGCCGCTTGCTATTTCGTATGTTTTGCTCCGGTATTTGATGCTTTTCCTTTTTCGATCTGAGACGACTTTACACCAGGCCATGTGCATCTCCATACTGCTAGACTCTACAGGTGTGCTGTAGACAGAGAAGAACTCAACTAAATCTGCAGACGGATTTGTTATGTGCTGTGTTGTATACTGTTTGGTCATTGGGTTGTACAGCAAGCAGCAGAATAGATTCAGAAGGACTGTTTCACCGCAGTTTGCAAAATATTCTGCATAGTCTGTAGTAAATATGCCCTTTTTTTGTTTGTAGCATGGTATCCTGCAGTAGACAGGAATCTCCTCTTCTGAGTAGAAAGGAAGTATTTTTTTACTGTCTTTAAGCTCTTTAAGCGTGTCTGCTATATGAAAGTACTCCAAAGAGCTTCCTAAATTCTGTGCGGGTATGAAGTACCGACTAAATATGTTCATCATTCTCTTTTTCTTTTTTTTTCCAGCTGCATCATTTTGCATGTAGTCCTGCAGTAAACTGTATCCAGCAGTAATGAACTCCTTAAGATCTGCTGGATTGTCAATAAACTCAAAGATATAGGTCTGTATTAAGAATCGCGTGCTATTCAGGAAATATCCATTCTTAAACTCTTCAAAGGTTGCTGGGTCTGAAAAAACTCCAGATTTCTTTAGAAACGGGCACCCTCTGTTCTTTATAAAGAACTCAATGATGTTCTTGGCTTCAATCTGCGGAACATGCGGGTTATATCTTGGACTAGAAGAACTATACCCTGGCACACTTATCTGAATTGAAAAGTAGTTCTCGTCAGAGTTTCTCTTTTTTAGAACAAGAAAATGCTGCTGTGGCATCTCCTGCACGCACTCCAGAGGGACGTCTATGCCCTCAGAAAGCAACAGAAGAGCGGCTAGAATGTGGTTAGACCAAGCCTTAACTGGTGGGTACCTCAAAAACTTGGTTAAGGAATCGTACCTTCCTGCCTCAATTGTCACATGGGTGTCATTTAATGAGAACATTTCAACAAGTTTGCTGTGGTAGTCAATAATGTATTTTTTCAGTTTTTCTTGCTCTGTGTCCTTTTCCTGTTTTGGGTACGGTCCATTTTCATTGTAATACACTTTATCACTATGGTGCAGCCTCGTATAATTGTAGTCATATAAGTTTCTGAATAAGGATTTCTTTCCTGATATATTGTAGTTTATGCTTATTTCTGGGGAAAACTGCCGCTTATTATGGATGTATCCACTTTTATGATAGATGTATCCCCGCAGCAAGTTAAATGGGCCTTCCGGGTTTATGATAAACTGGTCACCTTCCTCATTGGACACCTGCATTTCCTGGGCTTCTTGTAGATGCTTCACACCAAGCCTAGCAAAGACGGTGCCAATCACCATAAAGCAAATCAAATATTGCAAATGCATAATTAACAAGGGTAAAATTTTTTGACTAGGCTTTTTTGGTTTTCATGTCCTAAGGATGTGAAACCTTTCTCAAGTTGGCAGTGGCCCAACTAGTCATTGTTCCCACAAGAATTTGGCTATTCGCCAATAAGAAATGAGGGACTCTGTTTTTATAGGTCAATATATAGTGATCTATGGGTGTGAACACATTGGGCCATACTATAATATGCTGTCTTAATATTGGTCTATTGTATACACATAGTTTAATTAGTCAATATCAGGTTTAGAAACTATATGGGCATCAATAAATAAATTATATACTGGATAGAAAAACCAGGCCTAATACTTCAGGAAAAAACTCAGCTATGCTTAATAAAAAACCATGTACTGTATAAGTAGATGTGAGTGTGGCACAGTATATCATGCAAACAAACAGGCTTCCTTGTAACATATTGGCCTATATTCAACCCCAGAGAAGCAGTATTCAATCCATACTTTCTGCACTGGTGGCCCATAAAAAGGATTTTATGCCCCGAAGACAAAAAAGCCAACAATAACAGCTTCTCCATGCTCTAAGCATATTTCATTAATTTCTTGCCATTCTGGCCATTCTCTTGATTTATATTTTACAAGTCCATATACTGTATTATTTTTATTCAACAAACTATTCTTAGTACACAGAAGAAGACAAGAAGAAAAAACTCGTCTAAGACTAACATGCCCCCACAAGGAGCCAGCCTGTAACTAATACTCGTGCGGCCATATGCCTGCGTACACACCAGAACCCGTTCGATCTCTGAAGTTAAGCGCGTGACAGCTTTGATAGTACTGCGATGGGAGACCGCGTGGGAACACAGAGTGCTGCACTTTTTGTCCTTTTTCACACTTGCACTTACAATGTCCAGAGACTCTATATGTATGAGTAGCTTTAACCTGCTAGTCATTTGGCTCTATAAGCTAGTGGCTTAAATCCTCTCTGAATAGTATATGCCTTTCTTCATAAACATATGGCTATATATAGAGAACAGGCAAGTTTTTATACTGTGCAAGAAAATATTTGTGTCTTATTACTTAACTGCTACTAAAGCCTACTTTCTGTCTCTCTAGGAGTCCAGTAACACTGCAGTGCGCTTCAATATGCCCAACTTTCTGTGCAAGAGCGCGTCTGTACACATGTGCGGTGAGGCAGTTTGGTTCGCTCTAGAGCTGTTTTTCTCTCTTGCACTATATATTCTTTGCTTATATCTAGATGCCTGTGCGCAAGTGGGTCTTTAATTCTTGTCTGTTTTTTGATTTTCCTGTTCTCTCTTCTATATTTTTGTATCAACCACTTCAAACTAAAAATATTCTAACACCCTTACATATATACACTTTATTTTCTTGTAGACACCTAAGAATAAAAACTGCACATACCCAGATGCAAAGAGCATGGACTGGACTAAAGAAAGACTAAATATGCTTTAATTCTATTAATAAACTGCAGATGTATCTGTGTAATAGCCTGTTGAGTGCTAGTTTACTATATAGCCATAGATTATAAAAACATGTATATACTGATCAAAGAGATCCATTTAAAGAAGTTTTGAGGGCATCTATACCACACATGCTCCTATATATAATATGTGCAGGCTGCAAAGATAGAAGGAAAGCTTAGAATCATAAAACAATATTAAAAGGATAGGCTACTATAATTAGCTGTTGCTGGGATATAGTACATTATAGAAGGGACAAAGCATTTGGTGCACAAATCTGAGATTACCACCAAAGAACACATATCCATACGCATTGAATAGTGAAAAAAAGAAGAGTGTAGAAAAATTCTAGTGTATACAGAAGAGTAATAAAGAAAAGAAAAAGTAGCTGATAATTACAAGAGCAAGTTAATTAAAGAGGCTAAAAATAGGAAAACTAGCTATGCTTTACAACAGAATAGAACTAGCATGGCATGTAGCTAGATAGTATCTGTGACTTATGCTACGCAAAACAGGCAACAAAAACTCCTATTTAGTGCACAGAAAGCTTCTTTTCCTAAGAAAAGCATACTAAATGGCCATATGTTGCTTCTACTTGCATGCTATTTAATATATGCACCTATGTGGCTTGTCTATACTACTGCAGGAATAGCTTATGAAGCATTCTATGGGCTGTATTTATGCGAACTATATTGTTTCTACGCGTGATATATTCTAGTGCTAAGATTCTTTGTTAAATAGTGCTAATTGCAAAGGATATTAAGGGATGTGCTTTCGGCCAACAGGTTATTGGGATAATAAACAGATGCAGCAGGCGTGCTGTCTCTAATAAGCCTAGTGCACTAAACCCCGCAATAGGATATAGTGCATGCTTACTCTTTTTAATGAAATTAATTATACTTCAATATAAGTTAATTAAAAATAACTATATTACATACACAATGTTGGAGAACAACCTGTCTTAAATTGCCTTTATTAAATAAAAGCACCAATAGAAAGACATAGAATAAGCACACGTATCTTTATTAGGTAATAGCCAGCACACGCCGAAGATGCAAAGTACATATGCTAATACTCCTTTTATCTTTTATTCACTTCTTTATGCCAAATAGAATGTTGTTAATGGGGATATGTATAAACGTGATGATGTATCCTAGGAACCCCAATAAAAGAACTCCTTTTGTGTGGGCAGCCAGCATCTGCAGGTACTCTCCTTGGTTGGGTTTTTTAGATCTCTTCAAGAACTGCTTTACATGGAAAATTTCCTTTTTGCAGTGTGTAAAGGCCTGCACCAGCTTCTCAAGTTTGGATGGCTCTGTCTCCTTCTTTCGGATAGCAGCCTGTCTTTTTATAATTTCCGATCTCCTTTTGTTCTCTACACTCATAAATTAAAATAAAAAACACGAGCTGTTTATTTCTTATATCTTATTTCTCTTCTTTGTGCTGAAGAAGCTTTTAATTGACTGGAGTCTCCAGTAGCTGAGGAAAATGTACAGAAGAGGGAAAATGCAAACTATCCACAACGTGTTTTTCGCAGACTTTGTCTTTAAAAGGCTGGATGTGTTTGCAGTTTTAAGCTTTAGAATGTCATTGTAGATGTTCATAAGGTCAACCCGGACTTTATCCAAAAGCTTTCTAAGGACCTCTGCTTCGTCCTTATCCTCATGTGCCTTGTCCACATAGATGGACACTGATATATTGGCATAGTTGTCGCTGCTATTTGTGATTCTCAGCTCAAACTCCCCTGGGCTCTTGGCCTCAATGTTTTTCTGGAAGCTGCTCACTAGCTCAACAGGAGCAGAGAGATTATTCTTCATGCCGGAAGAAATTTGGATGTCATGTCCTTCAATTATGGTTACATCCAGCTTTATGCCCATTCCAGCCTGTGTAATCTTCTCAGAGAGAACAGTCACAGTGCCTGGCCTGATTATCTTCTGGACAGCAATTGCCTGGATATACCCCAGTGCAAGGCACAGCACAGAAGCCAAAACGAATCCTTTCTTCATAAACAAAAAAACACTTTTACATTTATAGAAGAATCAGATGCTCTAAAATTAATAAAAGCGCAGGCATCGTACGAGGTCAAGAAGATTTGCGCACAATAAAAAAAAGAAGGCCCGGTATGGCGCATTTCTGGGTGCATCATAAGACGACAGAACGCTCGAAGTGTAAAAAATTTTATGAGTGAGAAGAAGGCATGTTTGTTTTCAATTATTCTCTTTAGCAAGGAGGGCGAGAAAGTAAGTCTGTTCCTGGAGGAATACTCTCTGGGGTCATTCAGCTTCTTCAAAAGAACCCCCTTTCAAGAAATGATTAGGTTTATTTCCAATAGAATTGTGCAGAACATAGAGACAGACAGGTCTCAGGAGTTTGTGCATAAAATGGAGGAAGGCGACAGCTATAAGTTCTTTGTGAGGGAAAGAAGGAAGTATATTTTTGTTATCTCCTCCCTCCTGGAGTATCCAATCCCTACGCTCTGTCTTCTCATTGACGATATTGCAAAGCACATCCAGGATGCAAACATGGCGTATCCGGCTGGAGACAGCGAGGCGCTTTTCCCAGAGGAGAAGAAAGTTAAGATAAAGGAGGAAAAAGCAAAGCTAAAGTCCTTTGTAAAACAGCAAATAAAGGAGTACCAGAACTACGAAGAGAAAGACGTAATGCTGCAGATCCAGAATGAGCTTGACGATGTCCACAATCTGCTCTCTAAGACTGTGGAGAGCGCAATAGGAAGAGGGCAGAAGTTGCACGACTTAATAAACTCTGCAGAGCAGCTCTCCTTCCAGACAAAAAGTCTATATAGGCTGAGCAAGAAGCAGAACCAGAAGTGCTGTGGAATTATGTGAATGAGTATCATCCATGCCTGGGGAGGTGCCAATAAAAGTACTGAAATTACACACAAATTTTTTAGATGAGTGCGCAAACTGTCTTGTGGCACATCTTGGATATGTTCCGAAAGGGAAGAAATGCAAAGATATCCGAAATCACAGAAACTCTTCAGATAACCCGGAAGGAGTGCATGGATTCGCTGCATTTAATAGCGGAGCAGCTAGAGCCCATGGGGTACGCTCTCGTGCCAGGATATACATCCCGAGTGGATGCAAGTGGAAAGGCACTTTTACCGGATGAAAATAGCATGAACTATACGCACAAGGCTGAGTCCCTAAAGAAGTGCGACTTTGTGTATATTGCAAAGAAGGAAGAGTGCACTGAGGAGGAGAATATGTACATCAATGAGCATGTCTCTGAGATACTATACGTTTTCATGGTGCTGTATCTAAATGGAAGCGAGCTGCAGTATGAGAAAGTGCTGGGGGCTATGAAAAAGATAGAACGAGACGAAGACACAATGAAGGAGCTGATAAACAAGAAGTATTTCTACAAGAAAAAGAGAAACGACGAGCATTTCATCCGGCCTGGGTGGAAGTTCTTCATAGAGTTTCCAGATTTTTCGCCAGAGGAGTACTTAGCAATAGTCAAGACGTCCAGTGTATAAAAATAAATGTGCGTAATTAAGAAATAGTTGTTAAGGTGGTATGGCCAACATCCAGCCATTATTGGATGCTTTATCTGCGTGGTGACTCTTTATGGCCTGCTGGTTGTAGGATTTGTCTTGAGTATATTGCGGTTTTTATTCTTTTATATTAGAGAGTTTGGCTAATAGTTTTCTATATGCAAGTTCTAATTGGCATCTGTGATCTGTGCAGTATCTAACTATATAGTGCATACACAATAGATGCACATCAAGGGAGGCACAGTATATCTTGGTCTTGGTCCAATAGTGCAGAAACAGATTTGTGCGCTCTGAAAGTTCTAGAAGTGTTTTAAAGAATGCTCTGTAAAATATAAAGCTTAGCAAAGCAGGAAGCAGATTCATAGGCGATTTGGAAAATGCTGCCAGAATAAATAAGAGACACACAGTTTGGAGGCAGTTAAATTAGTTGCAGATTTATTTGTGGGGATGAAACACAGTCCGGTATAATATGGGGGTGGTCCCTTCTCTAATCTTTGGCCGCGCTTAGTTGCTGGCCTCCTCCTTGCTGAGTGCTTCAGACACTTTCTGCAGAACAGTGTCTGTGGGCATATGGTGGGTGCTTCTGCCTTTTGTTCTCTCCTCAACCATGGTCTTCATGGCGACTCCGTATGCATCGGTTACTCTGTCAGAGTAGCAGTCAATACGGCTGGCAATTGCGCACTTGGAGCTGAGATATCTGCTGACTCTTCCGCGCATTCTGGGAGCAGTTGAGTTTACAAAGGACGAGTTGAAAATAAGCCCATACTTAGGGGTCTTTGACTTGCTCTTCATAGCTCTAAAGAGGGCCTTCTCTGCACCCAGAACCTGAATAGTTGAGGATGGGCAGAGTGCTAGCTTGCTAAGTCCTCCTGCTTTGAGGATAAGGCGGGCTGCCACCATCTTTCCAACAAGTGCTGTTAGATTTGGTGCAACTGTAGAGAGCCTCTTCTCTAGGTGCTGCATGGCATGCGTGTATAGCTCGATCTTCTCCATGACAACACCAGAGAGCTCCATGATCATGGTAAAGTCTTCTTCTATAAGATCTCCCCCGATTGTGCTATCCATGGCTTCTACTATGGCTGGGCCATTTTCCAGCTTTAGCACTTCTTCTCTATTTGCGGTGTTTCTGTTACCTACCACATTGACTGCTTCTAAATACTGCATCTGCTCCTTGCATATTGTGATGAGCTCTGGGAAGTGCCAGGAGTACATCTCCTTAATTCGCATGAAGTAGTCATTTGTGGCCACTGTCATATCATCAAGCATGGAAATGCACTGCATAACTGCATGGTCCTCTCTTGCTGTGTCATACTGAATTTTCTTTCTGGAGTTTGCATGTGCCAGACTCACTTGGGACCTCTGCACTTTGCTGAACTCAACAGAAAACAGACTGTCTGCATTCTTTCTAAGCGCCCTGATCAACTCAGTCGAGCTCTCCTCGTCAAGCAGCTTTATTCCTATGTCCTTCATTGCCTGAGCGTACACTTTATCTGCAGCCAGCACTTTCACGTCGTTTATTTGCAGGAACTCCTTCAGCTTTGGTGTGACTCTTCCCTCAGAAGATGCCTCCAATTGCTCAAGGGCGTCCTGTGGGTCTGAATAGACTAATGTCCCGCAGAGTTTAAATGCCTTCTTAAAGTCACCAAGCGTCTTTGCGTTCTTAAGAATCTCTTTTAAAGTAACTGAGTCTAGCCCGTTTTCTTGCACAAGTAAGTATCCAACTGAATGCTCAACTAAAACATGCGCCATAAAAAATTGCAGAAGGTGGAAATATTAAAGCGCAGGCCTAAAAATGTAAATCTGCAAGAAAATTTTAACGTATAATAATGGTAGAAAAGGGAGAAAATTTCTACAGAACAAAAGAAAAGCTAGCATACTGGAAGATGCTGAAGGGGGGCAAGCCCACCAGGGACTCAGCAGGGAACATAATAAAGGCAGCAATATTCCAGAATCCTGTGGCTGCGCCCGGAAGAATAAAGCACTCAAGGACATGGTTTGCCTCCACACGAACAACAGACCAAAGAGAACTGGAGGCTTTTAGAAAGGACTTGGAGGAGCAGGCAACCGACGCGTACAAAGTGATTCTAGACCAAGGAAAAGTCCCAATGAGTTTGATCCAAGAAAGCAAAGAAAAGGCAATTCGGCCAATCATCTCATATGAGAACACGTTTGGAAAGAAGGCCACCAGAAAGAAGGTGAAGCTTTCTGTGCAGTCGATTGACGAGCTCGCGAAAAAGGCAAAGGTGGCTGTTGACAAAACAGTTGAAGAGAAGGAGAAGGAGATGGAAGACACAAAGGACAAAATCTACCAAAAGGGGCAGAGCAGAAGAATCTGGGCTGAGCTGTACAAAGTGCTTGACTCAAGTGATGTGGTCATTCACATTCTTGATGCAAGGGACCCCCTTGGCACAGAGTGCACGAATATTAAAAGGTACATGAATGAGCACAAGCACAAGCATCTGATCTATCTTCTAAACAAGGTCGACCTTCTCCCCACGGGAGTAACAGCAAAATGGCTAGCATACCTCTCTAAAACCACGCCGACTCTTGCCTACCATGCGTCCTCAATTGACAGAAACTACGGAAAACAGAGTCTGCTGAATCTGCTGCGGCAGTTCGCCAAGCTGCATCCAGACAAGAAGCAGATCAGTGTAGGGTTTGTGGGATATCCCAATGTAGGGAAGAGCAGTATTATCAACACGCTCAAATCTAAGATTGTTTGCACAGTAGCTCCAATCCCTGGCCAGACAAAGGTATGGCAATACATTTCTCTTATGAAGAGAATCTATCTGATTGACTGCCCAGGAATCGTGCCAGCAGCAGACAAGAATGAGACAGATGTAGTTCTGAAGGGGGTAGTTCGAGTGGAGAACATTACATCACCCGAGGACCATGTTGAAGCTCTTCTCAAAAAAGCAGAAAAAAAGCACATCCATAACCTATACGGCATTGAGCCAGGAGATGACCACCTGGAGTTCTTGGAGAAGCTGGCAAAGCAGTCAGGAAGGTTGCTTAAGGGGGGAGTAGCTGATATAACTGCAGTTTCCAAAATAGTCCTGCATGACTGGCTCAGAGGAAGAATCCCGTATTATACACTGCCGCCAGAAACACCTGAAGACAAAGCTAGTTAAAATAAAAACACAGACAAGAAGAAATACGTATTAAAGACTCATACAAAAACCACTCAAATTTTGGCAGCCAGAGCAAGCAATATACAGCGCACATAACAGCTATGTGTATGCATGCGCTTGGACTGCTGTAAGTGCCCTAGCTGCTATCTATGAAAACTGCATATTTCATATGCATAATTGCATCTGGTAATATATTCTGAATGTGATGCATTATCTTAGCAAGCCGTACCAAGCATGAAAAAATTGGGCAGTAGACTAATTATATTCAGTCTGGATAAATTAAAATTAAAACTATTTAAGAAATTTGAGTTTTCAATGTATGTTAATAAAGATTACTAGTAGCACTTTCTAAGAAACCAATTCAGCACTTGCAAGCAGCAGTAAATAAGTCAATAAAACAGTCTATTGTGTTTTTGGTATATTGTGCCTAAGTACTTTGTTATTTGTGCAGCAGCCTTGTTTAAGCTTAGGACACTTTGTTTAAATGCAGATATGCCTGCTATAACCTACTAGATATCTGCGCATCTATTCATAATAATTTAGGTAGATATCCATGTGGTTTTAGGCTATTCATGCGCACATTCAAGAAATGTGTTTATTTCGCATAGGCTCATTTACTTATTTTGGCATTTAGCAGAAAGGCTGGCTGCTTCTGCGCGGATAGCTCTAACCGCTAGTTTTATAGTGACAGCTGCTGTATGCCAATTAATTAATTAAATAATTAATAAATATCAGAAATAGTTCAAAGAGACACGAAATATTTTTTATAATGAAGAACGAAGCAGAGAAAAAACAGCTAGAGAGTAGAATAGATAGCAAAAAAACAAATAGAGATAAAACCAAGGGTAAGAAGAAAAACAAGATGCCTGCTAAAGAATTCCCCATGCGAGATACATCAAAAGAAGAAGAAATAATAAAGATTAGAGAGAAAATAGACAGTCTTCTAGGGAAAATTGAGCAGATCCAGAGAACAAACACAGAGGATATTTCGGTAAATGCAGTAAAAGGACAAGAAAAAGAAAAGACGGATGTATCCCTAGGAAGCGCAGTAGAACAGCCCATAAATAAGGAGAAGGCTTCTTCAGCAGAACAGAAAAGCAGCAGTGTCCAAGAAACAAGCAATAGCAAAAGCAGCCAGCCTTCAGAGACAATAAAAGAGCCAGAAGGTAAAAAAAGGTCAAAAGATGTGTACAATGAAGAAACAAGCAAGAACCAAAAGTGGACGGATTATGATCTGAAGAAAGAAGTGCTCCTGGGAATCCAGAAGAAGGGATTCAACTGGCCGTCACCCATACAGGCAGCGTCTATTCCGCACTCTCTTGCTAATAAGAACATTGTGGCTCGAGCCAAAAATGGAACTGGAAAAACTGCAGCTTTTGCAATTCCTCTGCTGAACAAAATAAACCCGCAAAAGCTTGTTCTGCAGGCACTTATTCTCGTGCCAACGCGAGAGCTCGTGCTGCAAACAGCAAAGGTCTGCAAGGAGCTTGGTGAGTTCCTGCGCTTGAAGATACTCCCGCTGTACGGAGGCGTCAGCGCGAAGGACGATGTCATTCGTCTGAAGGGAGGGGCCCACATTATCATTGGCACTCCTGGGAGAGTACTCGATTTTATCTCGCAGAATGTTATTGTTCTAGATAAATGCAGGCACTTGATCTGCGATGAGGCTGACAAGCTTTTGAGCATGGATTTTAAGGAGGTAGTCTACGAGATAACAGAGAGGTTCCACAAACAGAGGTATATAGAGATGTATTCTGCAACATTCCCTGCAATGATTCAGGACTACATAGATAAGTACATGCCCGAAATAGTAAAGATTAATCTCATGAAGGAGTTGACTCTCTCAGGGATACGGCAATATTATGCATATGTAAAGGCGGTTAACAAGCTGCACTGTTTAAAGACTCTTCTGGCAAAGCTGGATGTGAACCAGTGCTTTATCTTCTGCAACTCTATCCAGACTGTGGAAAAGCTTGCAAAAAGAATGACTGAGCTAGGGTTTACTGCATACTACATACACAGCAAAATGAAGCAAGAGGACCGAAACATGGTATTCCATAACTTTACGTCAAAAGGAGAGTGCAGAATACTTGTTTCCACAGATTTAGTAACACGGGGAATCGATGTCCCCAGTGTAAATGTCGTAATTAATTTTGATCTTCCGCAGAGCACAGAGAGTTATCTCCACAGAATCGGCAGAAGTGGCAGATTTGGTGCCAAAGGAACAGCTGTAAACATGATTACTCCAGATGATGTATATAAGATCAGAGAGATAGAATCTATTCTAGGAATAGAAATGCTTCCCTTCTCAGATACGTCATAGATGTAACACTTAAATAACAAATAAATTCTTTGAATATCTATTCCTCAACCTTTAGGCTATCTTTACTATATAAGCACAAAGAATATAAGTAATGGCACACCATTTATCTGGCTTCATCTAAGCAAGGCTATTTTTAGTGCTTTTGAATGGGCAGTGGAATAATTATAGCATAGCACGGACTGCATATTTTAATATACACATAAAAAGACAGCTCTGTGGAAATTTCAATTAAACATGTCAAATTAAGAATGTGTTTATATCCTAATAGTGTTTAATCTACGCAGCAGCCATTTTTTCTATCGCATAGCTAAATATTAATATAGAGATAAGCAATACATAGAAAATATGTCAAAGAGTGTTTTATTAGAGAATAACTTATAGGTCCACCTTAACCTCCTGTGGGATCTGTGCCTCTGGAGTTGGCGCTGCCTTCTTCTCAGTCTCAGCAGAGTCTTCGAGTGTCAGATCAGCAGGAATGTTTGTGTGGGCTTTTAGGAATGCCAAAACGCTCTCTGCATCTGCTGGCTTGTCCTGAATCTCAAACTCAATTTCCTTGTTGGTTTCTTTCTGGTATATTCTTATGGTTGGGTATGCCTGGATTGGCTCAACCTCCTTCTGCAGTGGAACATCGTTCTTGGACATGAGCATTCTGCTAATGACTACATCGCTTGAAGCTTTCTTCAGAGCAGCAGCTATTTTGTCCAGTCCAGGAAGAAGGTTCTTACAGAAGCTGCACCACTCAGCGTAGTATACAACTAATGTGTCCACCTTTGGGTTAAGTGCAATTTCATTGAAAGTGCATGCAACAATGTTTACAACACCTGCCTCATTGGCCATGTTTTCCTCAGAGGGCCTTGGCTCTCCCATGAGGTATGGCTCAACACTGCTTATGTCGTATGCGCACTGCTGCAGGAACTCCTCAGTTCTCTTGTCGTTCTCTACGTTAGTAAGAAGATACTTGTGTAGTCTCTGGTCCTTTGGAACAATGATGAAGAGAGCAGGAAGCATGGATCCGTTTACTCCAGAAATGTTCAAGAAGAACTCTGTGGTTATGTAGTCAAGCATGGCTATCTTGAGGTGGCTCTTAAGTGACTCTGCAATTGGGGCAGCCCACTTGTAGTTATCAAAGTCTGGCTTCTTTGCTACAAAGTACACAATAGGCACTGAGAGATTCTCGTACAGATGTGAGTTTTCTCTGTAGAGCTCTCCAAAGACAGGAACACGGGCAATGTCCTGTGACTTGGATATCTTGGTGGCAATGTTCTCTGAAGTGTTCTCCTCCTCTGAGAGGTTGAAAACATACTCGCCTTCGTCTGACTTGTAGTATAGACCTGGCATAGTGACTCCAAGAGCCTTTGCAGCCTCCTCGTCTGTGCTCTTCTGGAAAGAAACCTTCAGTCCGCTGTTAATCTGCTCGGTTACTTCAGCAGAAAGCTCAATCTGCGAGAAGAGAATGCACTCCCCTTCAATCTTTGCTGCAGGCTCTGCTTCCTCTTCCTTTTGGGCGAGCTTCTCCATTGTCTCATCGAGTGTCTCTTTTCCATCTTTTTTCCCTTCCTTTACTTCCTCAAGTATTTGCTGGGCAATCTCATCGACTGCTTTCTGCACCTCGCTCTCTTCCATCTTTACATTTCCTGAGCTAATTAGCTTCTTGATTCGCTTCTCTGCTTCTGTCCTGGCTAGATCCTCAAGCAGCTTGTTTATTGTTGACCCATGCATACTCTCTGAGACATCTGCATTATCATGTGCCGCATCCTCATGCTCATGAGTGCTAAACTCTGTTTTGTCTTCTCCCACATGCACGCCTCCTTGGGTTTCCTTTTCGATATGGGCCTTCTCTAATGTTGGCTTACCGCTTTCCTTTACAAGATCACAAGATACTATTTTCAAACAGCCAATAACTGCACACACTACTGCAATTATTTTCATTGAAAAAAATAGTTCTGTTCAATTTATGCTTTTAATTTTGCTGATTTTAGACAAATTGAAAATTCCATTAGATGCCACTCAAATCCTCTAATTCCATTTAAAATAGATTAAAAATTAATTTCCAGATATTCTGGAAAATGACATGGAATATTGCATGCACACAAAGAAAGTTCTTCATAGAAAGCGTTTTTGAGACTAAGATATCCATTGTGTCAGAGGAGGAGGAGATTCTAATAGCCTCGTGCAACTTCACAGGCCTGTATCTGAAAAGAAACAAAAGCATATTGTTCCTGGAAACAGAGAAAGTCATTCTAGGAACCAGCACTAAATCCATCCAAAACATTGAATTTTCACTTTTTCTTCCAAAGGACATTCCGCCAAGCTACTGTGGAAATAACATAGGCATAGTATACAACTTGAATGTATACGTGCAAGGGATGCAAACTACGTTCAACAGGTCGTTTATATGCTCTGTTGTCTCTGGAGTTCCTGCGTGCTTTGAGAGCTCTGCAAAAATATTCATTCCTGCACAGTATGAAAGTATTGCTGAGGAAAGAGAGAAGCCTATAATACTACTAGAAGACTGCCCTAGAAACAAGCATGCCCATGAGTTAATAGTTGAACTCCTACGGAAGGGATTTAAAGAGGGATGCATGCCAGACTTTCTTACTCAGAGAACAAAAGTTGAAGAAAGTGAAGAACTTCCAGAAATATGTGCAGAAGCAAGAAAGTACTGGATAGCAGAGAAGGAAAACACACATCACCCACTGAAGCTGTATGCCAAGATTATGAAGCAGTGCTATGAAAAGTGCGAAAGACAAGTGTTTTATTCAATAACCACGCAAGGAAAAGAATATGCAAAAGTGCTTATTACTATAACAGAAGAAGACCCTCCACACTGCCTGCTAAATCTATCATTAGAGCTAATAGAGCCAATAAAGAATGTAGGAGTATCTTTGGTGCAGGTGGAGACAGTTGATGACGCAGAGTCTAAGGAGAGACTTTACAACACAACAAAGTATGTGGAGTATGCGAAGAAGGTTTATTTCGAGATTCCTTTGGACAGAGCACGATGCCCAACCATTATTACTCCAAGCTTTAGCACGCAAGTAGAAATGGTAATTGTAATAGATCGCTTGCAGGAAGTACGGATAAAAATAAAGTAGTAAAATGTATATTTAGTATGCATACTAAATAAGACCACTCTGTCTTTATCTTTTTCTGAATACCCAAAGCTAGAAAGTCTTAATCAATCCCTTAAATTTATTAAGTTTCTTTTGTTTTGTATATAACAAAGCACTATCTATGCTTAAATGAAAATTTTTGTTATTTATATCTCTTCTTCACTTTATTCAATTAATACTCTGCTATTTATGCTGCAATTGCTTTTCTATCTGTATTTCTCATCTAAATGAGCGAAATCTCTTCTTTGGGGTTTTAAATAGATAAATATTGGTCGAATAAAAAGACCTATTATATGTAAATTGAGTAAAAGATTTTTTGTTAATGAAAAGCTTTTATAACATAGCTGTTACAGAATATAAAGCGTTAATTAGCGCATACCAAGGAAGCTATTGTGTCCATATTATATCCTGCTTGCTAGCTATGGGAACACTGTACTCTCTTATGTCTACATCATTTCGGAAAAGTGCTGAAACTAGACACTTTTGCATGGTCATGTCTAACATGGTTTATTTGGTAGCACTTCGGTGCGGGATGACTGGTTGCGGGCTTGCATTTACACTGGGTGGTATTGTTTCAGAGGTAGGCTTTCTTCTAGCTAAATACTTTACCAAGCACATGCAGAAGCTCTTTATTGTCTCTGTCTGGTTTCTTTACACACTGTATATATATCTTCTTTTAACAAGAAATATTTCGACCAGTTTTCCGGTTTCCATTATTACTGCAGGATTCGCTCTATATATACACATGAGAGTATACGAAATATACCAGATAACGCACTTCCTGTGTCAGTCTGTTCTATTAACCACTTCTTTCACTGGAGTAGCCTATTTGTTTATGCAGGCACCCTCTTTAGAGTATGTCCAGCATGTCTCTACAATAGCTATATGTGCAATATTTATATGCTTACTCATGAGAAAGACACTCACTAGATATACAAAGGAAATGCTTCTTAAATAATGCCTGCAATTAGACACACACACAGCAGACAGTTTAGTTTCTGGGCAATAAACTTAGATGTAAAATAGAGAATACTTTGTCTTTTATACTGAATGCCATTGGTTTATATGGTTGGGACCGAGTGGACACAATTGTAGTATTTTTCTGCTCACGCAGCCCCTCTGCAAGGCCTTCTTGCAATTACACGAATTCCTTTAAATGGCTTGTTCTAACCACACGGTCTAACCCTGTACAAGCAGTTAATAAATATAGAATTTTTATGTAGAATACTTGCAGCTCTGAATATTTCTGTCTGTCTGCATAAATAAATTTAAATATGTAATTATAATTGTCCAGTGTGTTTTGACATTCTTAAAAAGGAGCAACGACATAGCTTTTCAGATAGCTTGATACGCTGTGCCCTTTTGTCTTTGCACTTAGTATGTTCTTTAATGTTGATATATGCCACACTTTTAGTACTCTCACGAGATTTTATAACGTTCTTTTTATTTGTATGTTTTCTGGAATTAGATGCTTTTATATCAGCAGCCTTGTGGCTTTCGAATAGAGAAGTAGAAACTCCACCACATTTTTAGTCTTGTTTATTCAAGTAGCCAACTTCTTCCTTCTGAAATATTAGACTTAGATTTCTTATTCGCGCTATCTATTTATTTCCTCTATTTATAACTATATCTCTTTCCATATTGGTCTATACTACTTTCCAGAAGGTACCCTTCAGTCATATTGATAAATAATTACTTATTCTTATAAAAATAATACCATGAGCTAAAGACATCTTGTAGCTTTTTGTAAACAAGCAGAGCCTCTTATAATATACTAGCCTGCACCAAACTAAATAACTTCAAACCCAAATAGCCACCATTTAAAAAACATTTTAAATTATGAGAGCCCAAAATAAAGACTCATTGGAGACTATCACTATATAGAGCGCCTGGTAATAAAATATTATTTTACAGAGTCAAATGAAGATAAGCAATATATTCTGCACTATCCTAGTATTAATTCTGTGGATAGCCTGTTTTTTATTTTCTTCTGCTGCATTAATTGTCCTTGTGGTATACATAGCTCCAATATGTTTCTTAACTAATGACAAAACACTGCCGTCTTATTCTATTGCTATTGTATACACAGCCTAATAACTGATGCATTTCATAATATTAGTTTGTTTAATAATGATGAAACAAGATACGAGTGTTTGGAATCTTTCATTATTCGGGATTAAAGGGTATATGATTCAATTGTTCTAAATAGTATTTAGATGCAGTGTTAGTATCTCGCATTTTTTAAAATAAATTCTAGTACACTTTATGTCTCTAATTGAAAAGGCCTTTATGGTGCTAAGCTGGCTCTATTTTGTAGAGCTTCCTAAACTCCAGACAGACAAGAAGCACAGTTATAGCAGCCAAACATATATTTATGTAGAGGCACCCTACTGAAATGTCAAATAGCTTTGGCTTCATTGAGCAGGCTGCACACTTAAATATCATTGTGGCCAGAATGCAAAGCATCCCCATGAACATCAGCTCTATCACAGGAGAGTGCGGCCTCTGAAGGCTCTTTACCTCTACTCGAATGCTCTTTCCATAGACTGTATAGTACCCTGGATGCTCTATGCCCTCCCCTGCTGTAAATAATTCGTCTGAGATGTGTCTTATAAACTCTCTGAAGGAAGAAGAGAAGGAGAAGCGCCTAAGCATGTTTTGCATGCAATAGAAATAAAAAGTGTGCCAAGCTAAAGGAGAAAAAAAGGAGAAAAAAGGAGAAAATTGATTCTGCCACTATATAAAGACAGAATAAATTATTTAGGGGATGATGAAAGAGCTATTTTTTCAATGTGAACTGTTCAAGAACAACAAGAACTTTGATGGCATAATCGAAGTTGCCTCAAAGATATTGGATGCAGCCCTAAAAGAAGCCTTGCAAATGGAGATAGTTCAAAGAGACTACACAAAAGTAATAAATGCAGTCATCTTTGTGACCCAAAGAATGCCAGGGACTAGATACCAGAATACTGCGTTCTCAGAAGCCTACTGCATTCTAGGAAAGATCTTTGAGACTGGCGTTCTTGCTGAGAAAAACATTAAAAAAGCGCGTGAGTACTACACTGTGGCAGCTGACCACTCCAACCCCTTTGGATGCTACAGACTTGCGCACTTCTACGAATTTGGCATAGGGTGCAGTGTGAACATGCACAAAGCTGCACATTTTTACAAGCTATCTGCAAATGGTGGCTGCTGCAGGGGAATGCACAGATATGGGCTGCTCCTTCTTGAGGGCAGGGGCGGCTGCAAGAGAGATGTAAAAGGGGCTGTCTTCTATTTTGAGCAGTGCCGAAAGCTTGCTTCTCCCAACTATCCGCATATGATGTATGACCTGGGGATATGCTATGAACAAATCCCTCAAATGACAAAGGACATTATAGAAGACAAAGAGTATGCGCTAGAGATATACTTAGAGGGGGACTCTCTTGGATGCCCCAGATCAAGCGTAAGGCTCGGGCATGCATACAATTTTGGTGCGCTTGGCCTGGCACAAGACACAAAAAAGGCCATTTACTACTACACAAGAGCAGAGGCCATGAGCGGCGAGGCAAGATTTGAGTTGTACAGAATATACTTGGCTCAAAATAACCCAGAAGAGGCTATAAATTGGCTCAGAAAAGCTGCCATTCTAGGGCACCCAACTGGGCTGCGGCTATATGCAGACTCATTGGAAAGAGGAATAGATATTCCTCAGAATAAAACGGAGGCACTGTGGTGGTATGGAATCGCAAAGACCAGAGGGGTTAAAATAGACAAAGAAATTAAAAGATGTGCTGCTTAGTGCATGCTTTCTTACTGAACTCCTCTATATAACATTTTTTGCTTTTATTTCATAGAAGGCTTAGTGTCATAAAAGCCTTCTCTTCTATATTATTTGTGCGTTGTTTATCTAAATAAAGCTAATTTAAATTTGAAAGCCTTCAGATTTATAAATAATTTTGTATTATATCCAGCAGAATCTGAAGACAATTTATATATAGCTTTGTGTAAATAGAAGCTTAATTCCCTGCATTGCACATAAATCTAGTAATTTTTCTTATTTAAAAGGTGCAGCTAAAATGAATAAGGGTGTTTAAAGCACTAAGAAAAAACTTCCTAAGAAAGGCTTTATATAAACAAAGCAGGGGATATGCAATGAATAGATCTGGATACACTCCAAAGCGAAATAGACACATTTCTAATATGGAGTATCTAGAAGAACAATCTATTTATGGCTTTAAATAAAAACCCCTGCTAGTATAAAGTTTAAATTTTACTAAACCAACTACAAGAAGGCCTTTTTGTTCTACTACTGCGCAAGTATCCTAGAAGTATAAATAAAAAGCCTGGCAGAGAATATTTTAGTAAATCAATGACTTTTATCTCTGCAATCAAACTCTAGCTAATATTATTCTTTTTGTAATAGAATAATAGCTCATGTTCTATAACTTATAAACAATTTCTTCTGGTTTCCCCATATTATGGACTGTGAGAGCTGCGGAATAAAATTGCTAGAAATAGAAGCTATAAAAATATTAAAGCATTACAGCTGGGTTTTGAAGCTATATATAAATATGTTTATTGCGGGGATATAAATATGCACAAATCATATATTTCTAAACTGCTGCGTCTATTTTTTCTTCTAGTGTCTTAAATAGCTTCTCTGCAAATGATATGCCTCTCTGTAGTATGCTAAGAATTGCTGCTTCTGTCTGCTCTTTCTCGTTTTTAAGTTGGATCTTTAGTATGGCTCTTTCCTCCATTGGGTGCGGTATGGTGTATCCAATGAGCTCTATCTCAGACTCAGCTTCAAACTCACTTATACTCCATCTTACCACATTCAGAATCGTGTGGTTAGCCTTTAAAATCTCAATTGTATAGCTGTCTTTTACGTGCACCTCCATTAAATTTTTTTGTGCTTTCCAGTTCTATTATTTCAGCTACTCTTTTGGCTTGCATATGAAATGGAGCTAAAAAGGATGAAATTTATTATAGTATACTGTAATAGCGCTTTATATAAGTTGGTTATGAATGGATAATTATCTTTATGCTTAATCACTTTAGCTGATGTTTACTCTTCGAAATATTAGACTTGGTCATACTAAACCTAGATATAACTTATTTCTCATAGTCACTTATAGTTTGTAAAGTGGATATTTATTAAAGTTTGTTTACACCATAAACCAATATTACCACAACAGATCATAATGTACCACAGAGAATTACACCAACATAGATAAATATTATGTGAGACGTAAGCAAGCAGACCCCCTTGTAGCGTGTTGGGCTACAGTCAAAACTTGGAAGGCAAAGACCGAAATGAATCCACACTGCAAAACTAGTAAAAGGATTACATGCTTACAAGGCAAGGAAAACCAACACTTAAAATAAGTGCTTGTTCTAGTGTATGCATGCAGGGGATTCCCCTGATATTAGGAGATGGCCATGGTGATTTGCATGAGTTAGAACAGACTAAAAGAATTATTAGTTAAAGAGAATTAAAAGTTTTAATTAAGCCGGTGGGGTTAAATTAAAAAACAAGCTATTTAAAGAGTTTGAATTTTAAAAAACATATTAATGACATACTATGCAAAAACAAATGACCGCATTAAAGCTCATACGATTGTTGTTCTATGCATCGTAGGCATCTGGATGATTTTCGGAGCATGCTTTGCAAGTAATGAATGCAATGATTCGAATACAGCAAAGATTAAAGAATCATTAAAGAATTCAAACAAGACTGATTTAGCTTCCGCTATGTCTGATGAAAGCCGCAATAGAATGCTGGAACCACTCAATTTATCATTGGCTTCAAAAAATACAGCACCAAGTTCAAAAAATCATGAAAGTGGCACACACCATCCAACTGCTCCAGAACAAAAAAGCATAATAGTTACTACATTCTATGTAGATGATTCTGGAAATCGATTTTATATGAAATATAAAAGCCACAGAATTTATATGTACTTAACAGCAAATATGGTATTCAAAGATAACATCCTGTATAATGTATACAAAGATGAATCTGGGAATCAGATTCTTATAGATAGTAGCATACGTTCTTATTCTTTTGGTACTAAAGACATATCTAGTAGAGCACATAGCAGCCAGGAAGAAAGCATACTTAATCCAGTTAAAGTAACCACACCAAAGCGCCTGAGAGATTCTACTTTAAGCAGTTCAGGCGATAATTTAAGTCTCAAGAAAAGAAAATATACAAAGAGTAGAGAGAACACAGATTCTATTCATAGAACTAGCTTATACATTGAATTGAATAATTACCAAGCTGCCTGTAAGAACCTCAAGACCTACAAATCTGAAGCAAAAAGCAATACAACCCGAGATAAACCCCATGATTTTTCATACTTGTTTACTAAAGGTGGCATGGATAATGGAAATACAAAATGTGAATGTAGTATTAAGAAGAACTACGAAAATCAATATCAATTCTGGCACTTTTTAACTAGCACACGCTATAACTCCTTGGCTGAAAAGATAGAGTGCATCAACAACTTAGCCAATAAGATAGAAACAGAAAAATATAATAAGAACAATGGTTATTATTATTTCTTTTTAGAAGACTTAAAAAAATACATAGAAACTCATATAGACATAGCGCATATTAGTGCAACATACGACTACACAGACAGAAATAAGAACAACATATGCTCTATGTCTAAAACAGAGCCAGAGACACTTGAAGAGATATACGAAGAAACCCAAACAGATCTTAAGTGGTGGGTTAACAGTATGTCTATTATCTCTGCAAAAACTGAGAAGATGAAAAAAGAATGCTCAATAGATGATGCAGCACTAAAAGAAAAGCTGCATTTGATTCTAAAGCTACCAGAGATACTTAGAGACTTGGTTCTGATAACCCCCGAGATACTATCAAAGACAATGGAAGAAATGAAAAGAACATCTGATTCAGAGGCTAGCAGGTTTTTCTGCATTATAGAGTACTTATACTACTTAGTGAACGATGATGCAGACAAAATGAATATTGCGTATAATGAAGTTAAAGCGCTATCTGTGAACGAAGAGTCTATATGTACCTGCATTACTATGGAGGTGTATAGGGCTGTTTATAACGTGTTTTGTTTGTTCTACCAATGTGCACCATTTACCTGTGTGGCAGATGTTAAAAGTGAAGAAGGCAAAGCAGAAAAAAAAGAAGCACGCATTAAAAGTATTTTTCAGTCCCACTGTCCGTACATACCAAAGAGTGG